CACATTTTAAATAAATAAATAAAGCCCCTACCCATTCATTCCGTATTTCAGTATCCCCTGAAGCCAGGGACTAGGGTGGCAAAGTCGAGTCACCTCCGATCAGACATATCTTTAACTCCAAAGTAAAAGAATACTTGTCTCCAGAGGCTTATTTGGGGTGAACGATGCTGAAGACAAAATGGAAGCTTTATCTTTAACATCACAGAGCTAAGCTTTGAAAGTGTGGGAAATCCAGGGAGGGACACCCCCTCCCCCCCCCCAGATGTGTCAGGGAGAGTTATAAGGACAGAGAACGGACACAGCCTACATCACATTAGAGTCACTCGTGTGACATCTCTAGCAAAGAACTCCATTTCAGGAAGGAGAATTAGTGGCCTAATAACTCTAAATCCTGATTCCCCAAGGCAATTTGCTAATCCCCAAAGGACCTGTCAATATTGTTCCTTGATGGAACCATAATGTGTCGGAGCTGGAGACATGAAATAGGCTTCCCATCTGAATAGGGAAATCATCCATTTGGAGTTTTATAAAGATGCATATAATTTTTAAAAAAAAAAAAAAAAACGGTATACACGAGGTTAAAATGGTTGATAAGAAATAACTAAACAAAGAAGATGGGAACTGGGATAAGCAAAATGAGCAGTGTTTTAATTCACAACAGTGCTATTTGATAGTAAACATACTAGACTTCAATCTCTAGATCCATTACTAGTTAATCGTGAGTGTAGCTGAGATCACAGACCTCCGTGCAGATCTGTATGAAAGAGAAGACAGAGTGAATGAGGGCTGGAGAGTTGACTCAGCAGTTAAGAGCATTGCTTTTCCAGGGGACCCAAGTTGGTTCCAGCACCCACATTGGGTGGCTGCAGAGGATCTGACAACCCCCTTCTGATCCCTTTGGGCACTTACACTTCTGTACACAAGCCCACACACAGATGCACATATACGTGCATGATTAAAAATAAGCATTTAAAATGGGTGAGCAAAGAACAGAGACAGAGGCTTGGGGCAGGGCGAGGGCGGCCTGTGTGGACCCTTGGTCTTTCATGCTAAGCATACTGTTGCCATTGTGTTTCCTGGAGTGGAACAGGGAATCTTGTTCTCCTTCCACAGTTCACAGACACTTCCCCAAGTCCTGGGCTTGCTGTGATTTTTGTTGTAAAGTCATGCAACCAGGAGTTCTTCTCCACCTCCAGGCCCCTGCTGATGAATGCAAAGGCATGAAGCAGACTCAGATTTAAGAGCTCAAAAGCCCAGTAATTCCAAAGGAAGAACCTGTAATCTCCATGGCCAGAAATATACATTTCAATTATGGTTTCTGGGAGGACTCTCACAGGGCCTGCCCACGGTATATCTGACACTACTTGGCTTTTTTTCATACTATTTTTTCCTTGCATGTATGATTTGTGTTCTGCTGGACAATATCAAAACTGTCCAGAATTTCATATTTGTTATCATCAAGGTTTATTTTTAAAGTAGTGCTGTGTTCAGCTTTAGCATAAAATATGTAAGGGAAAAAAATTGAGTCCTAGATGAAGCTACACTGAAAGGGTATAATTAACCCCAGGGGTCTTCTTAAAGCAACCTGCCTGTTGCTGATGAACGGCAGACCAACATTTACAAATAATTACAATATTGGTTTTTCTGAAATTGCCCATAATGATTTCAGTCACAGCAGCAGCCACCCCAGAACCTTGGGACCCCCCTCCTCCAATCATTTCCTCTGCTAATGTGTTCAATTAAGCAGGGAGCCTCTTTAACACTGAGGCCCCCAGGTCTCTGCAATGCTCCTTTCCTCCAGGTCTGGTTTTGTGCAGAAAGTTTTGTCAGCCCCATTCCTAATCTGTAAGGAAAAATAGACAGCAAGCATTTGAAGATTTGTAAGATAATTGATTTAACAACTGTCCTTCCCCAATCTGGATGTACTTACAAAAACGTGTAGGGCCACCAAGTTGGTCCAAAGCTCTGCATTAGCTGAAAATGGTTCTCCTTCAGGTGTACTGTAGAGGAAAGGTTATAGTACTGCCCAAGGACCCACTATCTTTTTAATGACCATAACTGTATTATTTTTCATTTTGCTAGAAAATCATGTCTCATTCACCCTTGAGATATCATTGCCTGATAGACAACTTCTAGAACTCAATACAACATATATTTGTATGAGTAATCATAGGCAAAGCTTTCTAAATGATAACCTAAATACTATATGATATAAAATGTTCTGCACTCGAGAGAAAATAAATATGTATCAGAGTAACCTTGTCAGATAGAATGATAGCTAATTCTACTATTTTGTGTAGGGTAAATGTTAGACCTGCGGTACAGTTTTTAGGAGTTGTTTTAAGATCCCAATTATATACATACATTTTTCCTGAAACAAATGGAGAGATAAGAGACTGCCTTCAACAGGCCTGCTGGGTTCTTCAGGGACTCCTGGGAAAGATGCCTGTTCATTTACATGCCTTTAAAGGGATTTGGAAGTCTCTCTTCAAAGACAAGAATATATTTAAGGAAAACTTTACCAAATTGTAAAGCAAGAAGTTGACAACTGTGTGTCTTCAAGATACTGAGCTGCTGATCTTAGGGTGTGTCTCCCGAAGAAAGTTGGCTGAAGGCCATTTCTTGGGTCTTCCATCCCCATGGTGTTGTGAGGGATAACCAAGGCAACATTGGTAATTCCCCTAAGTCCACACATGCAGGCAGAGCAGAGGTGGAAGGTGCCTTCCATTTAATTCTGTACCCCCTTTTTGCAAGCATGGAAACAAACTAAGGCAGATGACGTTTTATACCTTCCACGAAGCAGAGTTCAGAGGAGGTGTTCCAACCGTTGATTCTGCCTTAAATATCCGCAGTGCTCTCTTCTGAGAGGAAATAGTGAGGGTTCAACAAAGCAACTGAATGGACTCCCCTCCACCTCGCTCCAAGGAGGCTTCAGGCAACCACTTGCCTGGTGAATCCCCTCCTTTCTCAGCAGAGAGACACCCAACACAGTTCATGTTTCGATCCTCAGTGCAGAAAGCTATAATACCATTTCCATTCAGTCCTGCCCACCAACCGTTATCACAGTTAGCCTAGGACTAAGGGGTTTCCTGGGATAGTGCTAAACTTCAGTGCTAAAACCTGTAATATTTGAGGGTCCTTGGGGATGAGATGGTCACCTTAATTCTGTCAGAGAATAGAACTTGTTGAGTTCTCTCATGGCTCATTCAGCACTTCTGTGTTCAGCATTGTGGAATCTTCCAAGAGGTCCTACCTTATTCTACAGTAGACTCTGAGTCCCACTGGACATTTATGATGGTGTAGACACTTATTGCCTAAATGATAGAAAAGCTCAAAGAAATTTGGAAAGTCTACATAGACTGACATGTCCAAACAAGGTCTAAATGTTTTCTCTAAGTAGCTGGGGACAGTGACTACATTCTAGCTTTATAAAAAAAAAAAAAAAAAAAAAAAAAAAAAAAAAAAAAAAAAAAAAAGACAACTATTTCTCTAAAACCTATTTGTCTTTGTATTTTTATTTTTTGTGTTTCTTAAATTCCCAGTTATAGGGAACAGATACTAAAACTCACTTTTCCTAAGTATCCTTCAGACATCAAGACTAGGAGCCCCCCCCCTTTTGCAGTATGAGCCCAACCTCATTACTTCCCAGTTCTCGAAGCACACCCGTACACATATCTCACCAAGGAGTCCTGTTACCGAGGGAGTCTGCCTTTCTAACCAGCTCCAGATGATGCGCATGCTGTGCCCCAGGGCATGCCTGGTAGGGCTCTGGGTGGCTTGTTCTCTCTGCTCCCACCTTTGAATCCAAGGGAGGAGGCTCCCAACAGCTGAACAAGGAGACCAGGCTAAACTCCAACTGTGCCAGCCACCTTCCATTCAGGGCCAGGGGTACAGTGTGAGGTCATTAGCTTCTCTCCCTAGTGACAAGTCCCTCCCTCGCTCTCTTGTCCTGTCACGTGCCCATTTTTCTCAGTAACCTGCTTAGTAACCTGGACTACAACCTTCCCCATGAGATCAAGAAATAGATCAGTCTGGTCCTCTCTGGAAGTCCTGGCTCCTCGCAAGCAAGTTTTAATTTCAACCCTGGGTTACACATTTCCTCATCTGCTCCTTTAGTGTATGCTGGCAGTTTCTCGGACAGTGCCTCAGCATCACGCTACAGAGCCATCCTGGTGCTCTCTGGCTTATCACACACAGGTTCATCTTCCTTTGCCCACTTAGATCAAAATGCTGTCATCCAAGTGAGCATAAACTGCAGATAGAGAGAAGCAAGCAACTTTGTTTCTCTTATTGTACAATGCTAACGCCATTTCCCCCCTCTCTTCGCTCACAAAGAAAAAACCCGCAATGATTGTTGCTTTAATACATTAAAGAGCCAAAGATTATCACTCACTCGACTGAGTCATAAATGTAGTTACAGGAAACTTGCCTATGGCAATTCGTGTTTTATATAGCCACAATTGGAAACGTATTTTTAAGTGATCCTAAGCAATAAAATTTAATTCATGAAAAGCTAGTTGCAAGAACACAGCATCATTCACTCCCATCAGTGACCAAGCCCTCGGGACTCTAGGGTGAGTTATGATGTACCAAGGGATAAAAACACAGGGCTATTCTGAAAAGTAATTCTATGTTTTTAAATTTTCTGCTCAGACCTGCCTATATTTGCCCATATTTCAGGCACTCTGTCAAGATATGTCAGGTTCATAGAAATCCAACTTGCAGAGTTGTGGGAGGAAATGTGAGTTCCAGTGAGAAAGACAGGAAAGCTGTGCTCATAGGGAGTGTTTTCCAGAACATTCCCACAAAGCACCTTCAACTAAGACTGAATAAGGCAGCCAACTGGGGTTCAGAGTTCTAAATCCACTGCTTTTTAACCATTTGAATTTCTGAAAAAGCAAGAAAAGTGCCCAGCCCCACCGCATCACTCCATCCCATTTGATGGGCTCACTTCTCGTTCCGTGGACCCAGATCTCATGTGAACTTACTGGCTGTTTCAGGGGAACCCAGTGCACCCAAGCTGGAAGGGCAGATGGGAGAAGATGGGAACTCCATCAAGGTGAACCTGATCAAGCAGGATGACGGAGGTTCCCCAATCAGACATTATCTGGTCAAGTACCGAGCGGTGAGTAACCTCCATCCTCAGACCCCCTTCCCCCACCCTGGGACCCTGACACCTACCTTGTTGGATCAAGAACTCGAGAATCCCAGGTGAAGCAAGGTAGGACAGTATCCCACTGGGCATTTTGTAGGAGACTAGTGGAACTTGGCCAAGGTTTTAAATCCCAAGTCTGACCTATAGCTATTAGGCCATAACCACAGTGGGACCATTTGAAAACTTCTACTATGACCAGGATGGTGAGAACATCACCGTGATTTTTCAGTTTTTCTACGAAGTGTTTTTTCCATAATCCAGGACTTCTGTGCACAATCTCCATGCTGCCATCTAAAAGTCACTACTTTTGATAAAGTGTGTCTCCTGGACCAGGTGCTCTATCTAGGCATATTTCCTGCAGAGACCCTATGAAGTGGGTATTACAGTTATCCACCCCCACCCCCCACTACAGACGAAGCAACAAGAGCTCCCACAGCCAGGAATGGATGTTCTCACACAGATGGGTGAGGCCAAATTAGAATCCAGTCCTATCTAGCTGAGGAGCCTAGGCTCTCTCCTGACTTACTTCAAGATCACAGGCTGGATCCCTTGCCCGCCCGCTCTTCTCGGCCCCTTAGCTGGGCTAACTGCTAACAATCAGCTTGACACGGAGCTTCCCCTAGTGGCTCGCTCACCACCTACCTAAGATCTCTACCTATCTAAGATCTCTACTAGTCTTTCATCCCCACCCCCCCAAACCAAGAATCACTCTCCCCTTTTCCAGTTTCAGAATGACATTTGGCAAGCAGTTGCAGGGGGTGGGGTGGGGCTTAGAGACAGTCTCTGGGAATCACCTGTTCCTGACATTTCTTAGTAGTTGGAGGTAATGGACCAGAGAGCAGTTTGCTTTCTCCATGAAGCCCCAGATAAGGCTTTTTCCAGAAAGTTTGTTCATCCCCTGCTTCTGGGAACAGCTCCCATAGAAATGGCATGTGGGTCCAGCATAGAGCCCTACGGGCATGCACACCCTACAGCCAGGGGACAGACCTTCATCTATCCAGCTCTCCCAACTGATTCTCAAAGACATCAGATAGGAGCCGGCATAGTAGGAGAAGCCTCTGTAAACGTCCTTACGGGCCAACCCAGAGATTCTACTGTATGGGAATCCCTGTAGTTTCGTTACTATGGGGAAGGATGTCAAGACTTGCCAGGTGGCCCTGAATAACCTAGTTGGAGAGGTGCTATGGTAGGGTGCAATGCCTCTGTCCTGAGCCTGGATGGCATCAGATTCCAGCTTCAAATTCCAGCTGCCATTTGCCAGCATGTGATCTGAAGGACAGATAATCTTATCTTCCCAAACCTCCATTTCCCTATCTGGAAAATGGGAATAAAATAACTTCAGCCGTCAGATTCGTTACAATATATATTGAGATCCCAAAATATCCTGGATGCTTTGAAACCTCTGTGAATTGTAACTAGGATGCAGGACCCAGCTAGAAATCTCTCCCGTAGGAAGACAATCTCGAGGTCTGTTTACCTGAATGGTCACTGCAGCTATGTTTAACAGATAGAGGAACAAAATGCTGAGCTATTTTAGATTTTGATGACTTTAACCATCCTCTTTCACTTTGAAGCTTCGTGGTGTTTGCTAAATGCCATCACATATTATTAATATGTATTACATAGCATAAAGTTTGCTCTCCTGAGTGTTTGCTCTATCGTCTGGTTGTCTCTTTTGTAATGATGTTTGCTGAGGAAGTCAGAGAAAAGAAGAGCAAAGAGAGACAGCCCAGCTTCTTTGTTTTAAATTAAAACAGCACCATAGCAACATGTGCAAAGCTAACTTACAGCCCAGCCCTGGCTTCCGGGTTAAATTAGAGGATAAGAGAATCCCCCCTGAGCAATTTCCCACAATACCCACAGCCCTGGAATGAGCATAACGGCACCTTTGTGGCTAATCAGAACTACTTTGTTCAGTAAAATCTCTTCCTCCAGCCCCAGGCCAGGACCGGTCACCTCTTTCCTGACACTGTCGCTGTGTTCTAGCCCCCGTTCAGTAAAAGTTGTCAAACCCCCTTGGGTGCCTATCATGTACCTGAGGTGTACATGGCTTTTGAAAAGGCCAGAGACTATGACATGGTGAGGTTTGCAACTAGAAAACCATCTGAAGAGTTCTCAGGAGGATGTGAGACCTCTCCCACACTGCTTTGTTATGCAGGTGGTTGCCTAGTGATGGCTTTGGAAACTCCCTTCCAGGACAAACTCTCCTTGGCAAGCATGGATATACCTAGAGGGAAGGTCGGGTGAAAAACGGGGGATCTCCAGAATTTTGCATCGCTCCTTATGCCCTAGCCAGTGTTTGCTAAGCACAGTGGGATACTACATGTGAGCTCAATGAACATCCCTCACTTGTTCAGCCACAATGAGGCCAGGCCACACTACAGGGATTAGAAAAGCCCAGTTCAGTCCAACACATGTCGGCTGGGCTCCTTATCATGAAAGGAAAGCACAGTCTGGGGCTTGAACCGGCTAGGCTCCAACCTTGAGTGCTGGGTGACTTTAGAAAGTCAGCTAACCTCTTACTGCTGTCCCTATAATCAGATTTAGTTTGAGCCTGAAGTGATACCCAGAAGGTTTGTTATGTGATGAGAAATGGCATAGGCAGCCCTAACTGCAGAGCCTGGCCTATAGAAGATACCCAATAGATGATGGCTTGCATTTTTAGTAAAATTGGAACCTATGTGCTATTCACCTGTCAGAATGTGGACAGCGTTCTGAAATATACTAAGAACATTTAACTCCTCCAAGAACCCCTCCCTAGCCTCTCCCCTCCTCTAAGAACCCATGTACCTAGCATTCCAGAGCATAGGGAGATAGGGTAGGTGGGGGACAGTGTTTTAACCCTATCAGTCCTGGAGTTGGTGGGACAATGAAGTCAGAACCAGGCTATATTGACATTCCTTGCTGTTGATGTTGGCAAGCATGCTCCAGTATGGAAAATCTTCACTGGTTCCCGTTTTTTACATTTTGACCCCCTGGTTTTCGATCCTCCTGAGTCTGTGCTGCTTAACCAGTCTCTCCAGCATTCTCACTCAAGCCCCCTGGTGTCTTCTGTCCTTCCTGCTGACTGTCCCCAGAAACTTGCCTCTGAGTGGAAACCCGAAATCAGGCTCCCATCCGGCAGTGATCACGTCATGCTCAAGTCCCTGGACTGGAACGCCGAGTATGAAGTATATGTGGTAGCTGAGAATCAGCAAGGAAAATCCAAGGCAGCTCATTTTGTGTTCAAGACCTCAGCCCAGCCCACAGCCATCCCAGGTACCGCCACTTCTGTTTTCTGTCTGTTTCCCGCTTTGAATTAATGCACACGTGCCGCGCCTCCTAATGCACCTGAACAACCCTGACAACTTGCTTGCTTACAGCCATCCTCATGACTGGTTGCTCATATGCCAAGCTTAGTTTTGCCTTAGCCCCATCTGTGCAGTGGGTTCACATGTACCAGACCCCCCAAGAGAGTTTTGCCAAGCATCCTGGGGGAAAAGGTCCTATCTCATTTGGCCTTGAAATAGCAATGCTAACCAGTCTATGGGACTCCCTCGGATGGGGAACGCCCCAACTCCTGCCTTGCCTTGGATGCTGGCTGAACAAGGATCCTTAATGAGACTTTCTCTGCCATCTGCATTCTATACTAGGATCACGTAACTGGTTTTTATGGTGTTTGTATGTGATCCTTGCTTTAGCTGTACAACCATGGTCTAACTCTCTTCTCTCTGGTGACCCCAAGAGAAGGAACAGATGGTGCCCAGTTAGCCACAAGCTTATCTGTGAAGGACCCCTCCACTGTGCTAAAGACAAATTAAATGTCTTGGAATGGAGCAAGTGGAAAACATAGATCCTGGGAAGCACCATCAATGGAAGGGCAGCCAGTCTGGTAGACCATGGTAGCAGCAGTGCTCCTAGGAGATGCAGATTTGTCTCTAGGATCCAGGACCAACTCAAGTGTGGGAATAAAGTGAGAGCTCTGATTTCTGTCCCAGATACCTTGTGCTAGTGGCCAGTCCCGTCATTAGGCAAATACCTCCAAGAAGATTCAGCCATCATTCTGCCTTTCCAGAGCCAGCCAAATGCCAACCACAGGCAGGAGAGATGGTCATAGATCATGTAGATGCAGCCTGTTGGAGAGGGTTGTCTATGCTCTACCATGTTCAGGTGTGGTAGGAAGACAGCCTGGGGCAGGCCCATCTTGCCTGCCCTGTCTGGAGAACTCACTTAGATGCTGAGCTCAATTGTCAAGCTTGCTCCTCCCAGGAAAGTCAGACCAGAAAGGGGATGGGCTTTCTGCCATGTAGGGTTATATGTGCCAAAGTGGGTAGCAACAGAAGGAGATGTTGGTGTGTGACTTTTTACGGTTGTTTGTGTGTGAGTGGGTGTGTATGTGTGTGAGGGGGGAGGAATGTGTGCGGCCTCCAGCAGTTGGCAGGTGAATTTTGAGTTGTAGACTAGATGTGCCAATTGGTTGATTGAACAATGGGGAGGGCGTTCCTGCTCAGGTTAGGATCCCAGTACTAGGAAGGAGGTTCTTGCATGTGGCTACAGGAAGTTGCTCTCACTGTGTCACAATTGGATGTCCAAACAGAGGTGGCCCTGCTTCTCTTCTGTCCCTTCTTTCCTGCGTTCTTTGGTTAGTTTGCCCTTGAAATCGAAAGTGTGACGTGTGTCCAGATCCATGCTTTTGAGCCTCTTAGGATTCGGGGACTAGTGAGGTTTCAGTTACGCCCTTTGTATCAGGATATAAGCTAGCTCTTCCCCACAGTGAGACTTGATGGGCAGCATGCTTGGGCATGCTATGTTTCCAGGCTGGGCACTGCCAGCAACGTCCCCTTCTAGGTTTCCAGTGTGAGCAAAAGAAATGATGGCGAGTGCTCTACCTGTGGAAGCCTTGGAGAATTGTCATCCGGGCTTCCACTTAAGCCAGACAGGGTTAGGGGGTACTTGCCTCATCCACAATGACTCTGTGACTGCTGTCCAAGTGGTAAAAGAAGACTGCTCTGGTTGGACTATCCTAGCCATTTTCTTGGAATTCAAGAACAAAACCTCTTTGCATCATAAGCCGTAGATTTGTGGTCGAATCCTGTGGTCTGCAGGATGGTTGCAGGTGAGATGTTCAGGACTGCACCAGCACGATTGTGGGGCTTGCACAGTAGAAAGACAGGTCTGCTTGAGCTCTCCAAAGACCACCCCGCATCCCCAGTGTTCTGACCATAGTGCAGCTGCCCACTGCATCTCAGCCTCGGTAAGCAAAAAAACGTAGACATGAGAAGAGCACACTTGCTGCTGCGCCTCTGAGGCTTCGTCTTAGCGAGAGGTAACATTCTCCTAACCTGACCCTGCTCTTCTACTGTGGAGGCTCGGCTCTCTCACTTTGATTTCCTTTGCTCGCTGGCCCCCAACCCCTGAATTAACCTGCTATGCTGCTTCTGGCGTTGCTGAGCTGCTGACCCGTCCTATGATGTTGATACGGCACTGAACTCTCCTAACGTCTGTCAGCCTAACTTACTAAGTTGAATTAACCTTGGAGTCTTGTTTTTTCTATATTTGACCTATTTTTTCTTTCTTTTTTTTTTTTTTTTTTTTTCCTCTGTTTCTGTCTCTGCCTTCTCTTTCCTCCCCTCCCACACCCTCCCTGTGTCTGTTGTCACATTTGTCACCTTGGACGTCACTGGGACATCCCCACTGCCACATTTATGTCTCAACAACCACCTATCCTCTGGAACCCATTGCTTGACACCTGCAGCCACCCTGGGAGGAAGTTCCACCTCCTACACCTTGGTCTCACTGCTCTTCTCTGTGGTGACTCTTCTTTTGCTCTGTTAGGAACTTGAAAA